TAAATATTGCAAATTAACGCATCCATGTAAATATGTAACTTGATTGCTCAAACTCTTTATCGAGTGGGAGATTCGCGTGAAACATTCCGAAATCTACTGGTGGCCAATTTTCACAATTAATTTGATTTGATTAGAAATATGTAGATTTCTATAACCAAATCTAGAGTTAGAATTTGTTGGCCTTGATTAGACTTACACTTGAGTAAACAACACGAACGAATGCACCATGGAGTCATTCAAATATTACGTAACGCAATTTTTCTTTATTTTTGATCCCATACAAATACCCCCCCCCCTGGGTGGCACAGCGGTACGGGGGGTTTCGATAACCGTGGTGAGCAGAGCACAGATATCCCATTGTGCAGCTTTGTGCTTAACTTCAAATAAACAAACAATCCCTCCCAACCCCATATTACACTTTGTAACACGGGTCGTACGTGACATCCCTAATTCATTATGTAATACTAACTGATCAACTCCCCTTAATCCTGATCCTTTAAATGTAAATATATTTAAATATATTAACAGTAATTATATAGCTTATTTAATAATTCGGGTAAATTATGCATATATTAACTATTCAGTCAATAATGCATACTCCAACGGGTTCTGGTAAAAGCACGTTTACTGCTCTTTTACCAAGGAGGTAACATAGTAAGTAGTACTTCCTCTGCGTACACGTCTGCCACGCACTGTAAACAATGACAGAACAATCACAATTCTAAAACGTAAAGCTTTCCTCCAGTTATTGGAAGCCAATGTGCTAGCATACCCAACAAAATATAAATGAGATGTTTCGTCTAAATGAAGGGAGTTGGGGGTTGAGAAGTCACAAAATATCCAACAAATGTGAAAACATAATTGTGAGAGTGGAAGGAGAACGAGCTGAAGCAAAAGTCAAAGCGTCTGAGTTTTTGAGTCAGGGAATGTTCACAAATCTAATTATATTCTATTATATTATATTCTATGTTTCTATTTTGTATTATAGTTATTTGTTATATATTTTATTATTTACTGCATACCTATTATTACAAGCTTCCACAATTAACCATTAATTATTGAGACATCATGTTGGACAAAAAAAAAATCCTACTTGTCAATATGTATTTAGGTTTCGTTTGATTGTATGTATCTACAGATTTATTAAGCAAACTTTTAGTTTTCATAGACTTGAACTGAGTTAGGTTGCTTAATTCAACACTACATTGAACGAAGAAGACTTGTATACTAAAAATCTATCTAATTTTCTTTACTTACTTATCAAACACTCTACGAAACTCTTTATAGCGATTTCCACAGATAAAACATTTTATTATAGCTTGCTTAAAACACAATTAATTACAAATTTGCTAGTGAGAGATCCCTATTGTCCATCTGATGGTAAAAACTCGTCAAGCTTCATAGAATATATCTTAATTATTAGATTAACGTTCAGAGGAAACATGCAGCAATAATCCAACAAGTTTAAACACGTACTTTCGTTTATTAATAGAGCTTAAACAATGAAATGGTGTAACACATTGTTTAATTTGTTAAACAATTGTAATTGTTTTTTTATTTGTAATTGTAATTGTTAAACAATTACATTCCAGTAATTGTTTGTTTGCTGTTTAACACAAAGTTACAAAATGGATTATCTCTGTTGTGCCCACCACGGATATCGAAACCCGGTTTTTAGCGTTATAAGCATTCAGACTTACCGATGAGCATGTAGACGTTAAAAAAGAAATGAAGTTTTCTACATTCAGACATAACTATTCAAATTTTTCATCCTATCAGGCAACATTAAGTAACTCTCACCAATCAAAAGTGACTGTAAACTTGGTTGAGTGGTATGTTTCCAGAAATGTACCATAATGTTAATGAGTTTATATATCGTATATATATATATATATATATGAGTTTATATATCGTATTTACTGTGATTGACGTTAATTTATTCGACTTAAGAAAGCTGTAATTGTGAGCAGAACTAGAAAAATTACAATTTGAAAGACCACGTAGAAAACAAAAGATTAATTTGGTACATAATTCTTGAAATATTCGTTGTTACACAATCCTCCTGTTCTTCGAGTTGGTTTATGATGAAAGTAAAGAAAATTATGAAAACACACAAGACATTAGTTCTGTAGTCCCCTTGTAACCTTATTGCCCCGTCACGTTCAGGTTCATTTTGAAGTCTTGAGTCTTGATTTACTTTTAATGGTTCGTATTTGTTTTTAGAAGAAATACACTAGTAGAATAGCTAATAATTGTAATTATACGTGATACAAAGTGATAACGGACTCTTTCTTTTAAACAAACAAAATAACCTTCAACGGTTTGAATAACAGACAACAATAGGCGACTTTCAAAATTCACTGCATACCATCGGTAAATATTCAAACGTTTAGGTTATATTTTTACAGTGATTTCAATTTTCGATCAGTACTGTACATTGATAAAGATTGATAAGTAAATGATACGGATGTCAAAAAGGCCCCAAACTCAGATTTAGATACAAATGTGCGCACATGCAGCGTATGACATTATAGATAGTTTGTGGTATATTATATACTGATCTGGTCATAATTCCAAAGATGGCGGTCATTAACGTATTTGTTAATCAAATTATATTGCGTAGTGATAGATGGAGTCAATTACGTTATCGTATTTCCTTTTATTGGGTCGTATCACAGATTGGGCAGGCAAAGTGTCTGCATATGTTGTGTGTATCAAGATAATATCCATTTCAGAAAATAATGTTATTCGTGTTATTTATCCTGTGTAATCAGGTCACCACTTTATTCAGTAGAATTGAAAGTCAGAGCAGCTGCATCAATGACGAGGTTGGAAAGGACAGAGATGTGGAGTTGGAGATATGAGGACCGTGAAACAAATGCAGCTTCAGCATAGCATCCAATTACCCTGATTGACAATAGCATTTATAGACTTGATAACCAGCTAATGCCGTATCATAGGGAATAGACCTCTCTTGCTACATGAACGTGATTAGAACTTGGCCTATAGAAAAGTATTATCATCCTTATGATGGAGTAAGGTGTAACTGCCAGCGTCTGAAAGATGTTCCTGAATGTACAACTTCCCGTACTCTCTATCGTGTGTTTTTCATCTCTATCCACTTCACGACTTTGAAACTTCAGAAAATTAAGTTATTCGTGGAATAAGGGGTTGAAACGTGTCGTGGACTAACATCTCTATATACATAAGGCCTAGCGTGGGTTGGTTGTACGGGCACTCGACTCGCAAGTTAGGGGATACGGGTTCGAATTCTGTCACCAAATATGCACGCCCTTTCAGTCGTGGGGGCGTTATAATGTGACGGTCAATCCCACTCTTTGTTGGTAGAGAAAAGTACCACAAGATTTGGCGTTGGGTGGTGTTGAGTGTTCACAATTAGGGACAGCTAGCGAAGATAGCCCTCGAGTAGCGAAAATTCAGCAAACAAACAAAACATATGCATAATATTCTTTTCAAGTTTCGATCCCTTCCTCCCCAAAAGACTGTTCCAAATCTTGTCATGTCGTTTTACCTGTATCACTTGTGTTAAAACACAACATTGAGGGTTTAATAATCAAAGTGTGAACAACATTATCTTTTATTATTTTGTGTGTAGTTGAATATTTTAAGCCATTAATAGTAACTGTCCTTTGTTATGAGCTTTTTCAAGTAGTACAAAATTAAGATAGAAATTATTGATAGAAATGTAACAGCTTTATTGTGTAACTATTCAACTTTTCTAATAATACTATAGATATAAGTGTAACAGCTTTATTGTGGAGCTATTCATCTTTTCTAATAATACTATAGATATAAGTGTAACAGCTTTATTGTGGAGCTATTCATCTTTTCTAATAATACTATAGATATAAGTGTAACAGCTTTGTTGTGGAGCTATTCAACTTTCCTAATAATATTATTGATAGAAATGTAACAGCTTTATTGTGTAACTATTCAACTTTCCTAATAATACTATAAATAGAAATGTAACAAATTTGTTGTGTAATTATTCAACTTTCCTAATAATACAATAGATAGAAATGTAACTATTTTATTGTCTAACTATTTAACTTTCCTAATAATACTATAGATAGAAATGTAACAGCTTTGTTGTGTAACTATTCAACTTTACTAATAACACTATAAATAGAAATGTAACAGCTTTATTGTGTAAATGCTCAACTTTCCTAATAATACTATAGATAAAATGTTACAACTTTGTTGTGAGGTTGTTTAATGTTCAAGTAATAGTATATATAAAAAAAATGTAAGTTATTTCTTGTAAAGTTGTTCAACTTCTCTGGTAATAGTATGTATGAAAAAGTAAGACCTTTCTAGTAATAGAACATGTCGAAAAGTGAGAAGTTTGGTATAAAGTTATTCAACGTGAAATTATGATAAAAATTGTTAAAATGAAATTAAATTGACCAAGGATCAATCATGGATACTAAGTCATTTTTAAAAGCTGTAACGATATTCACTATAAAAGAAGTTTCGATTATTGAAAATCTACGTGAATGTGTTTACCTATATTAACCATTTTAACAAACAATACAACAAATGTAATGAGGCTATAATTACTAGCACTATAAAACAGTGAGAAGAATACCTGTAGCAAATTCGCGCATGAACAAAGTTTAATAAGGTTTTTATCAGAGATAAAAATTTTAAAAACTTATATTTCATAGTAGTTTGTTTATGCAGTCAGCCCCAATATTTTTTTTTTCGCCTGAGCCTGTTTTCTAGTAAGCACACAATGCTAATATGAATATTAATGTCTTTATTGGCATCTCTTAATTAACTGTTGAATACTTTTGAAAGTGTGATATACATAGTTATACACACTTAAGATAATCGTGTAGACTTTTAGAACTTGCTTACGTGCTTTTCTCACTTAACTTTTGCATTTTGTGGGTTTTCCAAAGAAAAGTGACAGAAACAGATATGAGTTTTCTATAACTTAGTACACTGCAATAACATAACATAATTATATGTACTGACTAATGAATTAGGGCTTTAGCGACTCCAAGACCGTAGGCACCAGTATAACCATAACCGGCCAGACCCAAGCCATAGGCACCAGCGTAGCCGTAGTGGTGAGGAGCAGCGTATCCAAGACCAGCATAGGTCAAACCGGGACCATAGCCATATCCGTGACGAAGAAGGTGACCTTCCTTGGCAGAAGCAACTCCCTGAAGGGCGGCGAATTTACCCTGGGCGGCAGCGTAAGCACCTTGGGCAGCGGCATACCTTCCCTGGGCAGCGCCGATGGCACCAGTGATTTCTCCGGCAGGAGCCAGGTGGTAAGGAGCAACGGCAGCGCCATAAGGAGCAGCCAGAAAACCAGCGTGTGAGTAAGCCAAAAGGCCGAGAAAAACGATGGCAAACTGTGAGGAAGACAAAATATAATGTTACAAGACGCTGTTACGTTTATAAATCATTATAAGGTACATATAATACATTTGATACAATGATTATTAATACAAGATTAATTATTTCTATAATGCAAGAGAGAGGGAAAGGGTTTGATTGTTTGTTGCTAAGCACAAAGCTGCACAGGAGGCCGAGGAAAACAATGGCAAACTGAAAGGAAGATTAAGATACTATGACATGGAAAATAGAGATTAATTTAATTAATAATAAGAGCTGTTGTGACCTGCGAGTTTTGTAAAGTACAAAGTTTCTAATAACTATGTTAATTATTAATTTTCTTATGCTTATTAGGAACTTTAGAAAATAAAACTTATTTATAACATAGTAATTCTGAAACAGTTCATTGTCATAGTAGTTAATTAGTTATCTAATTCCATCGATAAAGATACTTAAATGAATACTTTAGTCTATTGAAAAATTTCAAAATGACATCAGATTTTATTCAGTAAATAAGGTAAAATCATTTTCATATGGTTCTAATGGTTATCAATGATAAGAAGTATCTAATGGATTTGGATCTGAAATAATCAGAATCAAACATTATCGTACTCACCACAGTATTCATTTTGTGATGCTGGATTGTGCTGAAGAAAGATCAACTGGTTGTGAAAGGTGTCCGAAACTCATAAAGGATCGCTTTTATACTTCCTTTCGTCCCGTCAGCTGAGCCACACTCAAGGGCAGTTAGGTGAGATACATAACCAAGGCCATCTTGCAACAGAAAGCCTTCCCTATATTTTACCGTCAGTAGAAATGTCATTACCATTCTGGCGGTTTTTTCTGTAAGGAAATCCCCCCGTAGAAAGTATTATAGTTACCCAAGGACTCAAAATGTGAAGTATTTCGGTTAAACAATACAACCAATTATAAAAACCTTTTAGCCACAAAAAAAAAAAACAGAGCGAGGCCAGGTAAAGACGGCCTTGAGTTTGGTCGCTCTTGTGAGCTGTCTCCCACAAACACAAAATAAATACTTAACTTTTTTTTAAAAGAAAGCGTACTTAATAATGTTTCCCATAAAACTTGATTATGTACAGATTAAACGACTCTAAATCAATAACTACTTACCAGTAAGTATATTTATTTCATTAAATGACCTGAAAGCCTGTATATAAAAACTACGATTAGTTGCATCTCAAAACTGATTGGACTGCCACAATTAATAATAAAAGTTAGGACTACTTTTTATATTCTATTATTTATACTCAATCATTAACAACTCGGTAATTTATAGAAAATAATAATAATTACTAGAAATTAAAGTATTTATTTCGCTGTCCTTCATGACATAAAGCAATATTACGATTCTTAATACTGTTTGTTGATTAACTATATAATCGATATATTTGTTACTCTCTAAAAACGGTCCTAAAATTCGAATTTTAATTTTACATAAGGGCTAACAATACGTGAGTTCATGGTCTATAACAAATGACAGGAAAGTATTGTATCACTGAAATTTTCATGTCTTTTTACCAATATCTCTCTTCAGTCTCGATTACTGCTATGCTGAAAGGGTAAAATGAGGGCAAGAGATTCATGGAAGTTTGATGGTTATTACAACGTCCGAACCCAGCACGTACATGAAGAACAATTGACGAACATAGCGAGTACAGCTACAAATGTTTATACTTGAACACGCAAGCACCGCTAGAAAGTCTGTTAATAACTCGAATTAGACTCAAAATACGGAGTTATGAGTAAAACCACTAGGTTCGGACCTTAAATGGTAAACAAGCGTGTTTCATGTATACAGTTGGATGTATAAAAGCTATTAGGTAACTACTAATGAAACCATTTCTCCTAGTATCTAAAAACATATATAATATTACATTACAAGAATCATAAAACTTGTCCGGATTATATCTCTTCTCTAATTATATTGTAATATTTGCTTTACTGGCTAGCCCTGATCCCTGGAATGATAAAGCTCACCTCATATCAGAGCCCATCAGGCCAGCTGGGATACGACAGACATAGTAGGGGTAATTTTTGTTTGTAGTTAATCACGAAGCTACATAATGGACTATCTGTGTTGTGCACATCGCGGGTATCAAATCCTAGTTTTTAGCGTTATAAGCCTTCAAACTTACAGCTGAGCCACTGGTAGGCAAAGTAGCGGCGTAGTTAATACTTATCTTTTTAATTATTTGAACAACTGTTTCGATACGAAATAAAGTAAATTAGTAAACTGTATTTTTTATCAATTTTGTTTATGTCATTAAATATCAGAATTAATTTTAAGATTTCTATTAACGTCGAATTGGTTAATTTTTCTATAAATATATTTATATTAACACCAAGTTGTTTATCATTAATGTTAGCCCTAATCCCTAAACTCATAAAGCTAGATCAGTTCTGTGGACTTACAACGCTAGAATTCTGGTTTCGATACCCGTGGTGGGCAGAGCACAGACAGCCCATTGTGTAGCCTTGTGCTTAACTTCAAACAAACAAACAATTTTAAGTGGTAAAAAAAAACAAGATGATAGGATTTTTTAATTCGAAGTTTATTAATTACGAAGTGTAGTTTTTTTAAAGTACTAAAAGTGCTGAACTTTTAATAAATAAGTAATATAACGTTTTGTAAATATCACTATAAAACAACCATGTTAAACACATTTATGTTTTATATATTTTTGTTGCTCTTCACGAGAGTAATCCTTCACATAATCGAGGAGATGATAAGCAATTATAATTAAGTGGATTTTACGCCAAATGAAAGAGAAAGTGTTGAACATAAAAGTTATTTTGAATCCACCTGTGTCTCTAGTGATATTTGTTCTTCGGTTAATCTGTTTAGACGTTTTAGTTTTATTTTGAATCCACCTGTGTCTCTAGTGATATTTGTTCTTCGGTTAATCTGTTTAGACGTTTTAGTTTTATTTTGAATCCACCTGTGTCTCTAGTGATATTTGTTCTTCGGTTAATCTGTTTAGACGTTTTAGTTTTATTTTGAATCCACCTGTGTCTCTAGTGATATTTGTTCTTCGGTTAATCTGTTTAGACGTTTTAGTTGAGGGCACGAGTTGGCCCTGTGGTAGGATAGAGAATTCCGGATATGGCAAGCCTAGTTCCAACCCGTGCCATACCACATAATATTCTCCACACATTAAGTTGTGCGTGCGTTATAAGAGTGATAGTCAATTTCTTAGCGTAAATAGTGGGTGGTAAGGTAGTGCTTACTGATTGCCTTCCCTCTGGTCAATTGTTCAAACTAGGGAGGGTGGCAGATAACCTCAGTAGCTTTACTATAACTACGAAAACAAAATACGTTTTGTTTGATAGCAGATAGCCTTAGTAGCTTTACTATAAATACTAAATCAAAATACATTTTATTTGATAGTACGAATAGCATTCAGTCTTTCACAATCGTTATATACCATATGGGGGTATGGTAACTGCACTAATATTGTAATGTATCTTACTTTTGTAAAATTATCAGTTCCAGGGTAAGGCATTTATATGTACATATTCTATAAGTCTTACCGGATAATAAAGTTTTTAAAACTTTTTATTTTGAGTTGTAAGAAATACTTGTAACGTTTGTGCATTGTAACTTTCAGTTTAATCCTGATATACCTACAGAAAGATCGAACCTTACATCTTAGTGAAGTACATGAATAACACTAAAAACACAAAGTCTCGTTTTTCGGTGGCCTGGTGTACATAACTGTTATATAAAACTTCACTTCCAGGAGATTCTGATATCAAAACAGTTATTGGATAATACTTAAATACAGAGTTGGGAATGAGATATTATGCTTAGAATATCTGTTCGAATTAAATCACTTTTTTACCTGTCTTTCTTCTGCGCTCTGTACACCCCAGAAAATCAATTCCTAGATTTTAGAATTATAATTCTGTAAACTTACCGTTCGTCCATCAGGAGACCAAACTATCATAATAGTGTGCTTAAACTTAGCATCCGTACTTACAAACACTGATTTTACTACCAGAATAATCACCATTCTATGATTGTCTAGATTAAGCTATAAATAAATAAGTTATAGTTGGTGACAGAAAGAAGTCCAATTGTATAATGTAAAGTAATGCAAAATGAAAAAAAAAAAGGACTCTGTTCGAAATGTTGTGAACTATCAAATAATATAGAAGTAATTTTAGTTTTTTTCAGTGAAACTTTATATCAAGTAATTCTAGTCTATTTCAAAATATCTTTAATTGATTTTTAGATAAGTTCATTATAATTGCTGTGAAAAACAGGTGCAAATAATCATAGTGTCTTGAACCTGTAGAAAGTACCGCAATTTTCGGATTTTGCGCTGTACAATCTACTCTCGCCATGCACTTCATGCGTTTATTATTTCATGCTATGCGCATTCGTTTTAATTAAGAATAAGAATTTTTATCGAAACGTTTCAATAGAATGTTTCTCTCGACCTTCTTTCCATTAGCGGACAATAAATGATATTCTGTTTTTAATATTTTTTTTTCCACTATATGGTTCATCAAGAATCATTAGACAGAATGATAAATATTTCAGCTACTGGTTCTTCGTCAACCTGTGTTTTTGAATCACATGTTTCTTTTATTTTATGACAATGACGATAATCCACAATATTTTTTTCTTTGGGATTAATCCTAAAAATTTTGTTACGAAATGAGTTTCCGAATTATTTTTTTTTCTTGTAACATCTAGAAAAAACCGCTCTATTGTTATATCCATTCTCATAATTATACGCTTAATCTAAGTACGTAAT